AAAGCATATGAGAATTAATTTATATCAAATAAAACATAAATCACATGCATAATTAACAAATTCAAGCTCTAAGTTTATATAAAATATGGGTATAAATTATACTTATTAGACACTAAGGTGTTGTTTGATAATCGAAATAAAGTGATGGGAATGAGAATACAAGAATCGGAATGAAAATTAAGAAATCGAATGGTATTTGTATTCCAATACCGTGTTTGGAATACTAATAAGGAATCGAAATGCAATTTAAATTTTTTAATAGCTGATTTTATATATAAATATAAATAATGATTTAAAAATAATTTTATTAAACTATAATAGTTATAAAAATAATAAAGGTGATGGTAGTGATTGTGGTGGTTCTATTAGTGGTGGTGGCGGTGGTGGTAATGATTGCGATAGTGATGATAGTTGTGATTGTAATAATGATGGTTGTGGAGGTGGTGGTGATTGTGATGATGTTAGTAGTGATAATGGTTATGATGGTATTGGTTGTAGTTATGATGGTGCTGGTGGTGGTAATGGCACTGGTGGTGGTGGTGGTTTTAGTTGTGATGGTGGTGGTTGTGGTTATGATAGTAGTGATTGTGGTGGTTGTGATGAAGATAGTGCTTGGTGGTGTTTGTGGTTGTGATAGTGGTGGTGGTGGTAGTTGTAGTGATGGTGGCAAAAGTAGTTAATAGATAATAAATAAATAAAATATATTATTATTTTGAAAAAAAAATTCATTCACATTTCTTGTTTTTTATTCCCACATTTTATGTAGGAATAAAGTTGTGTGTAAATTTTCATTCCCATTCCCACTTCATTCCTTTTAACCAAACAACTACAACGTGGGAATAAAACTTCCATTCTCATTCTCACTCTTCATTCCCATTTCCACCTCATTCCTTTTAACCAAACAACTACAATGTGGGAATAAAACTTCCATTCTCATTCCTATCACTCTATTCCCGATTACCAAACAGACACCTAAGTGAAATTCTAAATATCGAGAGATGAAATCTACATGTGATGCAACAAAAGTAGCAATCGCACTTGAATGATCTATCCATTTACTATTACCGCCTACTATTATTGTCTACTTGATTATTGCCTATAAACTATAGTCTATTGTGTTTTAAGTGTTGAAACAATTTGAGAGTAATGTTAATAATTTGCAAGTGTATTACTTTTGTATTTTCTTTATTATATGTCCTTATTTCTTGATTGCAGTGATATTAATAGCATTTTTATTCTTCCACATTCTTTTTTACTAGTCATGTTCTTGAATTGCAATGCTCCATAACTTCCTTCCTTGAGCTGGGATGCTCTATTTTTACCTTGGGCTTTAATGCTCCATGTTTTCTAGTATTCTAATTCATTTGTTGCAACATTCTCATGTTTCTCTTATTTTCGATTCTAATCATTCGAATCAGCTTATCTTCTTATTAGTGTTTCTTTTTTAGTAAGACTTGACTTTCAATATTTTTTGCTTAATTTTTATCTTTTGAACATAAAGCTCAAATTAACTTTTTTTTTATGGGCTTGCTCTTATGGACTTGACCTAAGGCGTGTCGGTGGTGCTTAAGGGCCATACGTATAAACTTTGTGATCAAAACCTCTCTAGGCTTGAATTAATTTGTTAGGTTGCTAGGCCTCAATCAAATTTTGGATATAACAACATGATATTCATTTTAGAGGTTGTGTTATTGTATTTTTAAGTTAAGTTAATTGATACTCCATATCTTGTTATCAAATAAACTTGCATAACACAACATTATTATCTAAAAACAATTTTATTTATCATTTAATAACCATTTTAGTTATAAAATGTAAGTTTATTTTATGTTTTCATATTTAAACATCAAAACGCAACTAGGAAATCAAATTCTTGAAATAATTAGTTTCCATGCAAATCTTCTTTTTCGATCTTTAGATTCAAGAATTACTCTTACTATTTCTCCAATTAATACTAATCCTCAATTCATATAAAACTTTATTCAATTAGGTAAATATGAAACTCCCAATTCCCTTTTATATAACAAATTTATGTATGCACTACCTTTATTATGTACTTAGTCTACAATATATCGTAACATTTAAAATGGTCTAGTGCCACCCTATGCTAACTTTATTTGGATTAGAGCATTGCATTTTCACTCACACTTTAGATAAGAAATTATGCTTCTTTTTTATTCTTTGTTAATAAAACGGATGTAAAAATAGATTGATTATACATCGAATAAAAAATATTATATTTTAAAAGATTATTAAAATTTATAAGAATGGTTGTAAATAAAAAACAAGGTTTTGCCCAACGATAAGCAACCCGATTCATAAACAAATTTTCTATCAATATGTGAGGTATAAATCTTGAAATCGCATTTATTGAAAGGATTTAAAACTTTTCTTTTTTCTCTCAAACATAATTAGTCATATCTTTAACGTGCAATGTAGATATTTGAAAAATACTAAAAAAAAAAGAATGGTTATAAATATATGCATATTCACATACATGAACTCGTATTTAAACCATTAGATCAACAAGTAAAAATCAAAAGAATTGCATGAATATTATATAAAAAAAACAAGAAGAAGAGAGATTCTCAACATATTCAATAATTTAATTCATATTTATATATACGCAAACACACACACACACACACACACACACACACACACACATATATATATATATATATATATATATATATATATATATATATATATATATATATGTGTGTGTGTGTGTGTGTGTGTGTATATATATATATCCAATCCAATTTAAAAATATCGTTTTTATTAATGAAACTAATAAAAAAGAAATAAGTCATACCTCAAACCTCAACAACAACACCAAGTCTCCCAACAATAGTACTCAAGAACATAGCAAACCATAGATTCTAAATTCATTAAAAAAGATTGCTAAAAAAGGAAATGGAAATGAAATTTAGAGGTGTAGTGATGAAGACTTTATTAGTACAACAAAGGTGTGGGCCTTATTTATTATCTACACTATTATAAAAGTGGGCTTTATAAAGGCAAAGAACAAAGCCCACAAAATGATGGGTCCCGCATACCGTATTTGGTCCACAAGCAAGTCGACGCTCCACTTAAGCAGTATGCAAAGTTTTTTATTTTTTATTTTTTATTTTTTTTAAATCGACATGTCCGAAATATGTTGGCTACTCGATTCCTCTATTTCTTTTCTTTTTCCAAATAGTTTTCCATTTTATTTTTGGTGAATAATTGTTCATTTTGTTTGTTTTGGGCTGACCTAATTAGAGTGGTCTATCAATTATGAAATATGTTTCAAATCAGTTCTCAACGTAAAAGTTTTGGCAATTTTACCATTCAACTCTAGAAAATGATGATCGGCACCAATTTTGTGCCCGTTATCGATCTTATGAGGCACCATTATGAACCCTACATAATCAATAGCCGGCAAAAATTTATTGCCATTGTTTGTGCCACAAAAATCGTGTCACTTGACTCTGTTGCAAAACTATTATTCATTTAAGTTTGCTAGATTAAGTTATACATGGTTAATTTACAATGATATTTTTTTATGCAAAAGTTTGATCCATGTTTGCCTAAAAGTTTTGGCAATTTTACCATTCAACTCGGAAAATGATGGTTGGCACCAATTTTGTGCTCGCTATCGATCTTATGAGGCACCATTATGAACCCCACATAATCAACAGTGGCAAAAATTTATTGGCATTGTTTGTGCCACAAAAATCGTGTCACTTGACTCTATTGCAAAACTATTATTCATTTAAGTTTGCTAGATTAAGTTATACATAGTTAATTTATAATGATATTTTTTTATGCAAAAGTTTGATCCATGTTTGGTTTTTGAAATTAAAATGAGTTTATTAATATCAATTTTACTATATTAGGGGGAAAAATAGAAGGTTTTTTTTTTAAATATAGTTTGAATAGTCTAATTCAAATAAAAAAATTAATATTATAATATAGTCCGAAAGAAATTAAAATGAGTTTATTCACAATGAGTTATGATTTTTTATTATTGTTTTACAATAAATTTTGCATAACTATAAAGTTTTACATGAAAAAGGTTCTTTTTTTAGACCAAAACTATGATATTGATTATAATGAAAATCATTTGATGGTTGTTAAATGAAATATTGCATAGAAAATGGGTGACAAATATGGATTGTAACTACACTATTTAAAATATGATTAGTATATTTAAAATCTCAATTTAGAGAAATTGAAAAAAAAATGCTATGAGGAAACTTATCATAAATATACTTTTTAAATTATTTTCAAAATTTTTCAAAATAAAAGATATAGTAGAATAGTAGGAAAAACTCGAAACTTTCGTATTTTTATTATTAAACGTTTATTCTTTTCAAAAATCTATTACAATTGCTTAAATAGAAAAATAGAAAAATACTAATAATACTAAACAAAAAATAAAATTCTAAAACCCTTGTTTTGTTAAATAAAAAGTAACTAATTTTAGGAAGCTTTATCTATTAAAATAAACATTACAATAAATAATTGAATAAAATATAACAAGATATGTATTTATTTCATGTCATGTCATGTATGATTGGCGTGTATAAAACTCAATCGAAGTAGAATTTAATCTCAATACTTACAAACTCCGTTCCCAAGGATATCCTAGCCGTTAAAAAAAAAAAATCCATAAATCTAAATATATGACCTAGCTTAATGATCATGGAAAGGTGAAATTGAAAGGATTCATAGTTTCAAGTTTGATTCAAAATCACCATCATACTTGGAGGCCTTTTCTTTTTCAATTAGCCGTTTTAATTTTGTATATTTCAAGTTGCCATAAACAAACACCACATCAAAAGACTCTCAAATTGTTACACCTCTCTCTCTCTCTCTCTCCCTTTCACAGAATTGGAGAGATTCTTGAATAATTCTTGATTCGATCGAAATCAAGCCCCCCTCCAAATCTCAGATTCTAATTAACCCAAAACAACAACTACCAGTTAAATCAAACCTTGAGAAAAACAACAATGGACAACAACACCACAAAATTAGATTCAGGAGACTCAAAAAACAACGACAACAGTGAACAACAAGAACATGAAGAGAACCCAAATTTGAGTTCTAATGGAGAACAACAACCGCAAGAAGGAGGAGAAGGGGAGAGAGAGGGTGGTGGTCCTCAAAGTCAGACTTCCAGAAGAACTCCGTTCACTAATCTTAGCCAAGTTGATGCTGACCTTGCTCTTGCCAGGACCCTTCAAGAGCAGGTCTCTTTCTTTTTCTCTATGTTTCTATCTTTTTATTGAAATGATTTGATTTTTTGGCTTCTTTGGTCTCTGTATTTGTGGGCTTTTTTTTTTTTTGTTTCTTTGTTTCTTTTTTTTTTTTTTTTCTCTCACAGTCAATTTTGGTTAAAGTTTGAATTTTTGTTTTAGTCGAGGGAGTGAATTGGATTTTTAGGTTATTGGGTCTGATTTAGTGGTGGGTTTTTGTTAATTTTGGTGTTAAGTAAAGAATTGAATTAAAAGTTTGGATTTTCAATTTGATTTTTAGTTGGTATTATATTCACTTCTGGCTTAGTTGAGGAGATGAATTTTGTTTTGTAGGTTAATGGGTCTCACTGATTGGTGTTAAATCTCTTGAATAGTGCGTTTTCAGTATAACAGAAGTTGAGGTTTTAATGGGCTTTTTGTTGTTTGATAAATGAGGGGAAAATATGATCTTGTTTGGATTCTAGTTTGTTGCTGTGAGAACCCAAATGGAGTAAAATTTGATCTGTATTGAGCATAAATATAATTATTTGGCTTCAGTAGTTATGTTATTGGTTATGCAAATGTAATCGAGTTTCATAGAGTGAAACATTTGGTTAATTTCTTCTCTAATGTGATGACTTTGTTTTTCCATAGAGACATTTCTTATTGTCGAGTTTTAACCTTTGGTTTCTCTAAACGAGAGAATCGGTTATCCTGTTTACTTGTTCTCTTATTATGATTATCTGTTTCTTCTGACCAAGAGATTTGATGTGCATGATTGTGGAGTAGGAGAGGGCATACATGATGCTAAGAATGAATAATGATGGGAGTGATTATGGAAGTTGGGAAGGTGGGAGTTATTTACATGATGATGAGGATGATTTTGGTGATCCTGATGACGAGACTGATGGAGATGATGATGGCGAGGAAGAATACAATGACACCGATGTGGATGATGATGCAGATGCATTTGATGTGCATGCTCATGCTGATGCTGGAGAGGATGATAATACAGAAGTTGAAATTGATCCTTCCGTTTATTCTAGTGACGAGTCTTATGCCCGAGCCTTGCAGGAAGCTGAAGAAAGAGACATGGCTGCTAGACTGCTGGCCCTTGCTGGCTTAAATGATAGTAAGTCTGATAATTACTAAGGAACTATTGTTTTTGTATTTTTTTTTTCCTTTTTTTGTGAATGTAAGAATGTTGTTTCTTATGTAAGTCTGTCTTTCTATGGTGTGTGTGTGTGTGTGTGTGTGTGTGTGTTATGCAACCTTTATGTCTTTTGCTAATAGTTTCTCATTACAGGAGAAGTTGAGGAGGACAGCGAAGAAGATCGTGGGGGTAATTCTCAGGTATCAATTTCTGTGACTGGGTATATTATTTTCTTCCTACCTTTATGGCTAAGGATTTTAATTTAACAGTTTGGCTCTATGATGACATGTATTGCAAATTTCCATGGCTGTATTCTGTGAAATTGATTTTTGGCATTGCTCTCTTGCTAGTAGAAGTAATGGATTATATACAAACCTATGTCTGTGTATATTTGTCCTAAGAAATATGCCCTTAGTTTACTGGTACTAGTATTGGAATAGTGAGAAAGTTTCACAATCACAAAGTTGACTTCAGTGATTATTTCTAGTGAGCTGCTATCCTCTTTGATGGATTTTGTTGGGTTCTCAAAACAGTTCTAACCCCTGCTGCTGACATACATTATTCGCACATGTAAATAATCCTTTAAGGTAATTTTTAGAGGAACTACATTAATCTAACCCAAACCTACAAGCCTGAAATACTATATGGTAAATGAAAAGTAATCACAAGCTATGCTCACAACAACTTAGGTTGTTACCATAGTTTAGGGGCTCGGGGACTGCTCCAACTGGCACTTTTAAGGGGTTGTTGTCAATGAAGTAAATGGTTAGGTATGAAAAGAGAAGCAGGTACATATCTTTGTGCTGCAGAGCTACTTGATGAACTAAGAACTGTGCAACAGACCAGCCAAGGTTTGACTTGCATGCTGCTACCGAGAGACTTTAATTCTTACATGTTCCTTTTTTGTTGAAGCAAATAATCATGGAGCACTATAAATAGCTTTTTGCCTGCTCTTTCTGGAAGATAATATGGTTCAAGAGTTTGCTTGATTTTGGTTATTGTCTTGTGCTCTGGTTTTCATTTTAGCCACTGGCCCACAAATGCTATTATGACATCCAAGTGTCTTGCCTGTCTAGAGGTGTTTCATTAACCATTCCTTTTCTTGCTAAATTTCCAGTCTATTAAGTGGTATTCTCTAGTCTGCAACTTTAATATGAAAGTTTTGATCTCCATGGAAGGACACTATTGGTTTAGGTTTGTTCCTTGTTTTAGCTTTTCACCAGGTTTTTATTGGTTGAGTGGTATGTGAATGCAAATGTTTGTTATGAGTGCTATAATTTTCTTTCCTACTTAATTCTGTTGTCTCCTATGCGGTTTAATTTGCTCCTTATTATCCAGGAAACGTGGGAGGAGGTTGATCCAGATGAACTTTCATACGAGGTAAGCTGGCTTGGACTGAGTGTTTCCATTGATGCTTCTACTTGACTTTATTTCTTATGGTATGATTCATCTATCTCAGGAATTGCTTGCACTGGGTGAAGTTGTTGGAACTGAAAGCAGAGGTCTTTCAGCTGATACAATTGCTTCTTTGCCTTCAATAAACTACAGGGCAGGAAGCAGCCAGAATGGAAACAATGATTCGTAAGCACGAATGCCTGACTTTATCTCAACTGTAATTATGTGATGATTGAAATGTGTGCTGGTGTTTCAGCTGTGTCATATGTCGTTTGGATTACGAGGATGAAGAAACTCTGACTCTGCTTTCTTGCAAGCATTCTTACCATTCAGAGTGCATAAACAATTGGTTGAAAATAAACAAGGTATAATCCATTTTCAGTGTACCGATAATTTTTTTTTATTTTTTTCATTTTTATCTGTAATCTCCCTAGTGTAGTTCATTGCCATTTTCCATTTTTTCCTTCAAACTTTAACTTCTTTCTGGTGACTGAAATTCTTACCCTACCAACTAACTACACTTGGTTTTCTCAACATTGCTCAACTGCTCTTTTTTTTCCCCCTTTTATTCACTACATGGTACACAATTTGTTAGCTATAGATAAAGAGCAAATAAATCTTTTCCTTTTCAATCACACATGTAATGAATTGGTACAGACCATATGTTCGGGGGGTCTATTTTAAAGTGATGCAGGTGCCAATCCTATGTTTAAGGGATCTTGTTACTGTCGGATCACTCTTTTGCGTTAGACCAACAGCATATTTTTCTAATTACAGTGTGAAGGATTGTATGAAACTGTTGCTTAATATTTTCTTTATGATTGCAGGTCTGTCCTGTTTGTAGCACCGAGGTGTCCACTTCTGCGCACAGCTAGCATTGGTTGGACCATCATCTTCTACAAGTCATAGACCACCTGGATTAAAAGGGAAAAAAACAATGCATGCATCACTTGCATAAGTTGGCTGAAAAAGAGTAGCTCTTGTTTTGTTGTGCCATCTGTATGTATGGCTTTCCCAGTAGGGGAAATGCCTAGGTGTGCATGCTTGTATTAATTCATCCATAGCTTCCATATGAGAAACCAACCCCACAAATTGGTTTCTTGTAGCATTACTATATGTGGCCTCTATAGGAAAACTGCAGGGATGGTGCCTGGATTCTGTTTACTTTTTCTTATAATCTTCCTTTCAGATGAATATGGTCTCGCCCTGTTAAATTGAATAACACATATATGCTATTTCTTTGGGTTTCCCCTCATATTTTCATGTTTTCAGCTTCCAACAATCAACTAATCGATTACACTGAAAGACTAGACTACAGAGCTGTTATATTATGCGATGTTTCATTGGGAATGTCACACAAGTCTAAAATTAGCCGACCCTTGTACATTTTTAGATTTCCTGTTTGGCTGTAAAGTTCCTTCTAAGATCAAAATGGGAATCTGCAAGGATTTGGCTGTCGAGCCAACAAGGCAATGATCTTGACAATCACTATCTATATCATGAATTTGTTGTCAACTTTTCTCGTTGTGTTCAAGTAACGTATCAGAATAAGGGGGTAAAACCAGAAAGCAAGCAAACCTTATAGGATTGGATTGATGACGTACCTGTATGAGACTTAATCCTTCAAAAACGTCAAAATGGCAACAATTTCAAACATTACATTGCTGCTCAAATCTTGAATGACTAAGATGGAGAAGCGCCCTAAAATTTGCACGAGCTGCATCCGTCTGTACGACCGCCCAATGCACATACACTTCGGTTCAGGGATGGCAATGGGGCGGGGCGAGGCAGGCCCATCTTAAAAAAAAAAAAAAAAACAATCCCTGCCTCATGTTTTATTCGGGATGAAATTTCGCTCTTCATTTCGGTCTTAAATGGGGCAGGGCTTCTTTCTTAAAGGTAAAATAACAGGATAGGGATGGAGATGGCCTCCCAAAAAAACAAAAAAAAAAATCATCTCCGGCCCGTGCCTCGTTTGTGGCAAAATTTCGCACCCCATAGTCACCCCAAACCAGGCGAGGTGACATCGGGACGAGTTGGATTGTCATCCCTACTTCGGTTCTATAGATAATCCTTGCCTACTACTAACGTAAATACCGCATATATATATATATATATATATATATATATATATATATAAAACTGATCCATGATTGGATCCAAATATTTGTATCTTGGCCTAATATTGAATGGAAGTTATGGAACGAGGCACATGCATCAAAAAACTAAAAATTAAAACAGTCACAATGTAATTTATTATAGAGATTGCAAAGAGCTGGACCAGATTTTTGCCACCTATCTCATACCTAAATGCATTGTTTATTTATTATATAGTGATTTGAGCGCAGGTTATCGGGAGAGTTTGAAACGATTCATCTCTTTTATCATTAGTACAAATTAATTTGTAATAAAATGTGATTAGTAAATTCAGGGATGAAAGGTTACAAATAGGGTTGTAAATACTAAATCGGATATTGATTCGAATTTGATGTAATTAAATAGATCAGAAAAATAATTTTTTTTATTCAAATTCGATTATAATTCAAATCTGTTAATCCTTTTATTAAATCGATCAAATCTGGATCTATATTTGATCTGATCTAATAATAATCTAGTCCGAAATTAACAATGTTATTTTCATAATAAATATAATATTTTTAATATATATATTGAAATTTAAAGTTTATTTCTCATAAATTTCAAATAATGCATATTCTTTTACGATGACGATTGTATTTTTTTTAAAAAAAATTATATATAATTTTTTTTTGTCATTTTCATAATTCAATTTAGTAAAAAAAAAAAAGAATATAAATTGACTTATATATTTTTTTTAAGAATTGATGTTATTATATTTATCACTACCATATTTTGCTGCCATGTGAACAAGAAATAAAAATTATTTATTATTTTATTTTTGAATTTGTTCCGGATAAATTTTTATTAAGATTATTGGATTTTGTGCTTTTAAATTGTATAGCATTTTGAATTTTTTACAAAATTGATAGATGAAATATTATCTTCATATATTTTACTATACATGCAATTGTTAAAATATATTATATATTCAAGTTATATTATAAATGTAGTAAGGATAAGTTTTTTACAAAAATCAAGTAATAAATCCGATAGAACTCTTAATTTGATATGTATCCATATCTGTTAAGAACTGAATTCAAATCACGTTTTTAAAATGCGTTTCAAATTCATAAGATTGGATTTTATTTTTTCATTAAACAAATTGGATCCAAATATAATATGATTGGATGTATTCGTTAACAGCCCTACGTACAAGTACGGTTAGGACTTACGAGACCTGTTCTCCGCCTTCTCTCGTATTGGATAGGGTAAAAACCCGGATCCTTTTTCCGGATAGGTTCTGGTGGCGGTGGATATACAACAGATCGGACAAACTGCCTTGGATTGTAGGCCCTTTGGGCCTTGGCCTGTCATGTAAGAAGTATAAATTCACTTTCCCTCCAAGCTTTTAAAATAGTGTTCTTACAAACTTTAAGACATTTATTTCAGGCCATCACTGCACTGTAAATGTTGAATCCATCATGTTATGTAAAAATCCTAATCTAAATATAAACAAAATCATAATCACTTTTCTTGATAAATGCAAATCAACACTACAGCTGAACCAACTTCATGCTCTAGTTATCACTTCAGGCCTCTCTCAAGATGACTTTTTTATGTCAAAAATCATTTCTTTCTCTGCTTTATCTGATTCAAACAGCACTGCTTATGCTTACAGGGTTTTGTTAAATCTTCAGGATCCAACAATCTTTGATTGGAACGCAGTCATTAGGGGTTATTCAAAGAGCAAGAACCCAAATAAAGCCGTTTCAGTTTTTGTCAAAATGTTGCAAGTTGGAGTCTTTCCTGATCATTTAACTTACCCTTTTCTTGCTAAGTCGACATCGCGGCTTTTAAGGAAAGAACTTGGGGTCTCAATTCATGGACATGTACTAAAATCTGGGTTTGACTTGGATAGATTTGTTGCTAATTCTTTGATTCATATGTATGGATCATGTGGTGAAATAGTGTATGCGCGGAAGGTGTTTGATGGCATTCCTGTGAAGAATTTGGTGTCTTGGAATTCGATGATTGATGGGTATGCAAAGTGTGGAAACATGGATTTGGCGCGTGGTTTGTTTGATTTGATGAATGAAAGAGATGTTAGGTCATGGAGTTGTTTGATTGATGGGTATGTTAAAAGTGGGAATTATGGGGATGCTATGGCAGTTTTTGAGAAGATGCGAATTTCTGGTCCGAAGGCTAATGAGGTCACTATGGTTAGTGCGCTATGTGCTTGTGCTCATTTGGGAGCTCTTAATAAAGGAAGGACGATGCATGAATATTTGGTTGATAATGGGTTTGAATTAAATTTGGTTTTGCGGACTTCTCTTGTTGACATGTACGCGAAATGTGGGGCAGTTGAGGAAGCTTTCACTGTGTTTCGTGGGGTTTCGATGGGAAAGAGTGATGTGTTAATTTGGAATGCTATGATCGGAGGACTTGCTACACATGGTTTGGTTAAGGAGTCACTTGATTTGTATACGGAGATGCAGATTGTTGGTATTAAACCGGATGAGATCACATATTTGTGTCTGTTGAGTGCTTGTGCTCATGGTGGATTAGTAAAGCAAGCTTGGTACCTCTTTGAGTGTCTTAATAACAATGGCATGGCACCAAAGAGCGAGCATTATGCTTGTATGGTGGATGCTATGGCTCGTGCTGGTCAAGTAGCGGAGGCATATCAGTTTTTGTGTCAAATGCCTGTCGAACCAACAGCTTCAATGCTAGGTGCTCTACTTAGTGGCTGCATGAACCACCGAAAACTAGATCTTGCAGAAATAGTAGGAAGGAAGCTTATTGAGTTAGATCCAGAGCATGATGGAAGATACGTTGGGCTATCAAATGTTTATGCCATTGGCAGACGGTGGGACGAAGCAAAAATCATGAGAGAAGCCATGGAGAGTAGAGGGGTGAAGAAGACTCCTGGGCATAGTTTTCTCGAGATGTCTGGAGCTCATCATAGATTCATGGCACATGATAAATCACATCCTAGCTCAGAGCAAATTTATACAATGCTAAGTTTTATTTTAAGCCAAATGCAACTTGGTGTACTCAATGAAGACCAAGAACCCTGGATGTATGGTATTTGAGTTGCTTTTTTTTTTTTTTTCTTTTCTCTAAATAAATCTTATTCAGGTTAATACAATTCTAATAGGTGCTGGTTCGTATGTGCAGAACTGTTACTTTGCTTGGCTGCTTGCCACTATAATTTTCTCTGTTTTATTAACCACTGCAAGACTCTCTGAAACTTGAAGTTCTAATAGAAAGCATTTAGCCCTTCCTTCCTTAGAAGAAAAGACAGAACCATTCTTTATATATAGCTAAAGCGTATCTTGAATGAGAGAGTCTGTCTTGAAAGTGCAAACACACAAGGCAATAATATTAAGCAGAAATTAAGACGTCTGTTCTTAATTAAAAACAAGGCAAATTAAAATATGATAGCTACTAGATATGCCCAAACACTTCCATGCATACGTGAAAAGCTAGCCCTTCTCCAAATTAATCTTATGATTCTGCACAAATCACAAAACATTGAGTTATAAAGAGGCAAGCTAGCAGCAAAGACTGATGTTGTTACTCTCCCTCACCTAGACACTAGAACCTTGAAGGCTGGGTTGAGCAAGCTGGAGATGGTATGGGTGAGTGATGGTTGAAAGTTGAAGCACACTACTGGGTTCTCCACAGAATGGGAATTGGTCCAGGACTTGCTGATGCTCCACTGGCTTTGCTTCTATTGCTGCCTGCTGATAATCCAGCGCAGCACGATGCTCCTGAATCTAAAATATCATTCATCAGCAAAGGAAAATGAGTAAAAACATTAATGGCGGTCTATACACATTAATTCATATGGTTCCCAGCAGCTAAAAAGGTCTCTCGATGAACTGTATGGAACCCTTACCCAGCGGTACATATTGCTGTTTTCCTCCTCCAACATACGCTCCTAACGTTTAGAAAACAAATGAAAATCAGATCCTTCTGTAGATCAAAGTGTATTTGAGACTAAGAGACTGACCTTCCTGCGAAGATTTTCTAGCTGCTGGTGCAACAGCTCATTCTGCATGAACAGTGAACGAAACATATATATATATATATAATCAACCTCAAAATTAAAGGATAAATTCTAGTTGCTTGTAAGACATGCTTGTATCACCACAGCTGGCCGGATTGGTTTGTTACCTTGCGATCTCGGACCTTGTTAACCGAGCGTTCAAGTTCTTGTTCTACTTCAGCCAACTCCTCGAAAGGAATAGAGCTCATGTCTTCACCAGTATAGCGACGCATGTTAGATTGAAGACAGCGAATCTCTTTCCTCAGCATTGCCAATTCTCCATACAATTGTTCCTACAAATTAATTAAGAAGGAAAAGATTACCAAATTTGAAAAAATTCATTCCCATACTTCATGATCGCTTATTAATTATGTTAGCCGAGAAATTTTTTTTTTTTTTTACCCGACTATCATGCTCAGGAATGCGCGTTCCAGTCATCTTCTGATACCTCTCTATGATTTGCTCCATCCTGTAACGCATTACATGATTGCCATATGAAAATGTATGCATGGTTTCATAATTTATGGTAGTACGTACGTAGAACATCACTAGCTAACATTTCTGGCTTCTATAAGCATTATATTTCTTTAAAGCAAATTCTCAACACAAAAATACATTCAAACTTGATTAATTAATCATTTCAAACGCCTTTAATATAACTATATTTATTGATTTCCACATTCGTCACTGTAAATTGACTCTCCAATTTCCAGTCAATAGGATTTGAAACAAATGATAAATTAACTCGTCAATAATCCCAATTTCCAGTCAATAGGATTTGAAAAGATACAGTTCTCACAAATGAGAAATGAAATGACTCTTAATTTGAGACAGGTAAAAAGTTATATTTTTCTTCCTAAATATATAAATGCAGATCAAAATTAATGACCTCATCAAGGGATTTGCAATAATAACCAACCAATGATGATCTGAGACTGATCAGACTGAGATAACATATATATACCACACATTTCATGCACATTCTGCAGTATTATTTTCCATTCCGTGACTAAATTAGATTCAAAAGAAGAGAAGAAAATTAACAATCAGAAACTGATATACATTAAACTATGCATGTCTCTGATAGCTAGACAGTACATTGAATTTATAACTCTTCTTTTAGGGCTATGGATTTAAGTAGCTAGATCAAACTTTACAAAGAATTAAGAGAAACCAATTATTCCTTAGGATGATTAATTAAGTGCAGTAAAAGTTATAGATCTCGAACTGAAACTAAGAGGGAAAAAATAAATTATTAAAAAAAAATTATAAAAGAAAAGAAAACACTTTGATTGTGGAAAACCCTAGTTTGTCAGAAGCATTGCGCAGAAAGTCAAGTCGTACTCAAGTTGGTCAAATAAAATTCTGAATGAAGGTGATGGGCTGATATTGATGATCAGTTGGATCATAATGCTGATAATAAAAAAGTACCTTCTACATATAAAACAAATTCAAGTCATCAAAAAAGAAAACCATGAAGAACATGTACTACTAGCTAGAAAATCTAAGATTTGCTCACAGAAAATTATAACATCACAAAAATAGAAAAAATAAAAAAGTATTTTTTATGTGGCACCAGAAAAGGTCCGACAACGTGAGAAAATCAAGTAGAACAACAAAAACTAGTGTTAAAACACAGATCAAAAGCCAAAAATTATAAATTTTGGAATCCTAGAGAGTACTGATAAATATAGAGACCTCGACCCCTCAGTGCAGTACTGACACAACTTTCCAGTGCTGGAGAAGATGATGAGCCCAATTTGAGCATCACAAAGCACTGAAAGTTCATGAGTCTTCTTCAGAAGCCCAGCTCGACGCTTTGAGAAGGTGACTTGCCTTGTTGTCTGGTTCTCAATCCTCCTGATGGCTATCTTTCCACGACCCATAGTTTTTTTTTTTTTTTTTTTTTTTTTGCCTTCTACTTAAGGAAAGAACAGAAGTAAAGAAGTAAGCAACCCTCTTTTCTCACAAGCCTGATTTTCTGGTTTTGCAAGAAATTAGCACACTGTTATTAGTTCCAAAAACCACAAAAAGCAATGAAAATTTAGTTTACAAGTAATGGAAAGTAAATGAAAAGTGAATTTCTAATAAAGATGAGAGACTTATAGCTAGAAGACAGTACTAAGAAATGACAAATGTGAAGTAAGTTTCTGAAACCTAAAATTAATTATAACTTGGCATAATGATCACTAGCCAAGATGGTATTCACAAAAGAAAGAAAACTTTCTATTACCTATCTTTCTTTCTCTTGCTTGTAGAAAATGGAGAGTTTGTTTTTAGAGTGGAATGAAAGCTTATTAATCTATATGCAGATAGCCTCCTAACTTAGCCCTTCTATTTTAACAAAACTACTAAAATGCACCTCATGCATGAACTTCTACTACAAAATCCTTGACAGACAAGAGTTGAAAAGGACTCTTTTTGTATAAACTTTCGGTTTAATTTGTAATTCAAATGAGAGGGTAATGCAATAATTCATTGGTCTAGCTAGATATATGGTCCAAGTTACACAAAGGTTTCATACGTGGCTACTGTGGCATGGATTGTAATTTGATGAAAAGGCATTTTCTCTCTTTCATTGTCCTGTAATGGGATCGTGGACAAAAGGTTGCTGTGACATTTAACCACTCTCTGAGTCTGATCTGCCAAGCTACCTGAACTTTGCCAATTTGGGATTGTATTAACAATGGTTAGAAAACTAGGTTTACCAAGAAAAGAAGGGCAAAAGGGGTTGGCCAAAACCCATGACCTAAAAGGTAATGACAAAGTGTAACAATCCCTTGAGAGATACTTTCTTGCATGGTAATTCGTATTCATGGCTGCAGAGATGTTGAAGTGAAACTGAGTTTCTTCACTTGGATGCCTAGGTGATTATAATGTATGACCATGGATGTGGTTAAATTATATCTTTCAATATATAATAGTACTGATGATCTCTACCTGTAGAGGTCATTTTCCTGTGGGTAATTAAGCAAACCCATCGTTAACTTTTTGACTTGAAAATTTCTTAGACTACCACTCATTTCATAGGCATATATAGGTCACAAGCTTCTATTTTGGTAGATATATACAGGAGTACACACATATATGTGCGCCATGCAACTAGCTAGGACAAATTAATTAAAAGTTGTTATTCAAAGGATGCATATATAATGGACATGAATGAGCTAGCTAAATGTTTTATGCTCGATCGATCGTATCTTCTTTTTCTTTTCTTTTTTTTGTGAAATATGATGTCATGACCTTGATCTTGATAAGCTAATTAATACAAAATATATATATATATATATTGAAGTAATGTGAAATTGTGAAAGAAATTAATATAAACTACCTACGTACCATGAGCCCACGAGAATCATTAGCCCTGTAAATCTTGGTCGCTTGCAATTTAAGCTTAATTTACTAATAAAATTATGATTCCTAACTAGTTATTAGAGATGCATGCACAAATGTTAATTACTACTCACAACCTATCCAATTAAATTTGCTACAACAAATGAAGATAACATACAGCAGCAGCTAGCTAGCGAGCATGCATATATGCAGTACTTGTAAAGCGTAAATAATATCACGAGAATGTATGGAAGTACTCATATATGCTTGGTCTACAGCTTTAAGATCAATTAAAGTGGAACATTAATTGATTAATTGGTTTTCTGTTTGCTGTGGCATTAGTCCCTTAGTCAGAAAACACATGTTACGAGTTCTAAATATGGAAAACTTAGGTTGAGCTACTTTCCTGGTCCCCCTCTATGTTTTGTCTTCCATTCAAATGTTAACATCCATCATAATCCCACTTGGCCTCTATGCCCTTGCCCTACAACAATATTATCAATGCCCACCCTACGTACTCTCATTGATTCCCATCTATATATTTATTTAACACTTATCCTTTTTTCTTTTTTTTCTTACTGCCGAAAGATTTTGAACTTTAAATTTGTAAATATATAAAGACAATTGGAAGAAAGAGCATCTAGGTGTCAACAGACCGATATTAAGGCCACCCTTTACATGATGATGTAATGCCATGCTCATTTTTGGTCCATGGATGGATTAGTCTCTGTGTCCTAAACTTTCCATAAATCAAGTCATATGCATAGACACTGCCCCCATTGGCTTTGGCAATTGATGGATCCTAAGCTTTAGGAACCATGGATCCCTTCTTGAGCTGTTTTTTACCCACAACAATTTGTTGCCTAAAAAATTCTTGGAGCGAACATTACTGTCGTCATCTTTCAAACCGTAATTATTTGTAGCGGCGCATGTAAAAGCTAGTGCTAGTGATTTAAGAATGTCTAATACAAACCAAACCGCACAAGATTTCTCTATAGCTCTTTTGTCACAATTCTTGTTCCTGTCACGCACATTAAACACTTGCATCCAGAATCAAACCCTTGTAAGACACATTCTCATCATATTGTAAATTATTAGGCATAGAATATTACGAAGCAATTTTGAAATGTTTTAAGCGTTGTTAAAGATGACAAATTGCAGAGCAATAAAATTAAGGACCCCAGGTAAGTAATTATAAAACCAAGGTACTATTAGTTAGAAACATCCGGTATAGGTACTGTGCTAGTCAAAAAGCTTCTGCAGCATATACAAGAAGCTTGTGCAACATCTTCCTCTGTTCCTGTATCACTCAGAAACAGTTTCAACCAAAAAAAAAAAAAAAACATGTTCGATCTAGCTAAGCCAAACGAAAACCTACAACTAAGGACGAGAACAGAGGTGAAATTTTCAGTGACTATCATATTTACCCAAAACTGCGACTAACACATGTAGATAAAAACTCCTGCCTGAGCCGTATACATGATGCAGGACCAGAATGGCCCTCCCTATGACCTCTTCTTCCTCACAACTCGCCTTCTCTAAACCTTCTCAGGTTTGTCCACACTGAAACCAAACAATGCAAACACTTAGTTGCCTCACTCAAATTAACAAAGAAACACATTAAACACATTGCATTATCAAAAATTCAAACACAGCACTGCAAGTAAGAAGTTATCTTCCCCTTGGGCGTATGCACATCCATAAACAGCAAGAAAAGCAAATGCCTTTCACATTAGGATTCACAGTAGTACAAGTCTGTACTTCGAAAAGTAGCTAAGCCCTGTGTCATGGCATTAAAGGCACAGGATTGCTTTATGCACTGCAGCAGCATGATACTCAAACAAAATGGGAATTGTTTAACATTCCTTAAAGAAGTTAAAGGAAAAAATATGTTTATTTTTCCTTTATGTTCCTACCAATCTAGTTTCATCAGTGTACCGCTTCTCAATTAAAATTAAAGATGTCACTTCACTATTTTCTTCGGTGGAAATGCGTATATAATATATAGCAGCTGGAACCTAGCAAATCCTTTTATGAACAGAACAAATTCATTTTCCAATCATTACACATCATGCCCTATCATAGAAAAATCAAAATGCTCCATATATACAGGATTGCATCATGCCAAATTAATAAAATGAGTATATTTTTCAAAAACTTTTTGGCAATGATTTAATGTCAATAAGGAAAAAACAGCATTGATTGGGCGTGGATATGCTATGAGTACTAATTTATAAATGCAGAGTGAATGAATAGTGACTCACTTTCCATCATTTATCAAAACATCTAGAGCCCATCTCGTAGCATGAAGATACATTTTCTTTATCTGCATCAAATGACGAACAATAAACAAGTAAACTTATAATAAATGCTGTTAAAATAAAAACGTATGCAGCATCAGTTAGTGGCTTTATGGCACCCACAAGGAGAAAATAAGTTGCCAATTATGATATAAAGAATCAAGAGTTAATGTGACTAGTGACCATAACATGGGCGACTTTGAAGCTATTACAGTTCAAATGATATTTTGTACAGGACAAGCTTAGATGTTGAATAGTAATTCATTATTTTGCAAGGGAAGGACCTGATCCTATATATATATATAAGCAGAACTGATAATAAAAAGCACCAGAGATTATTCTATTGTGAAACATGCAATAGCCTGGTATAACTCAACGAAACTCCAAGGGTTTGAAATAACATAGCAATAAATACTCTCCCTAGCATTCACAGCACAATGACTATACAGAAAACCTATTAAATTCAGTGCAATCGCTTACTACAGGATCCTATTATTTTTTAGCATTAACCAAAATATGATCATGGAGTAACTTTAAAATTGGATTCAAGAACACCCCATGTAAAATATGTTCTACAATTGATCTAGAAACTCATTGAACATGTAAGAAAATAGACATTCAGAACAAAGAAACGTCTATAAAAAATACAACTTGGCCAACTTATATTGAGATTCCATTTTCTATTCACAAAACAAATTCGAAAGGAAAATATTCTTATTACCAAAGACTTATTTTCTTTAGCTAATATAGGTTCCAGCACTTCTCATCATTATATAGACATAGAAGGAATATTAGGCATACCTCCAACTTGTCCTCCTTGGCCCGATGATTTGGAGGAAGCAAACGGAATTCCTCTGTCAAACGTATGCACTCACCGACATTTTCAGGTGAGACAAAGTCCAGTGCTACCTTAATGCAAGACTGTAAAAGATAGAAAGTAGTTACCACAGAAATTCAGCCTGCATGACTGTTTTTACGTGTATGAGCCTTTGGTGTAAACCAACAGATTTTAATTGCAATTAAAATCTAAGATACAAGGTTCAATTTTTTAAAATACGAACTGTAAATAGAAGCACATTGCATGGTAATTCCAGTAGAAATCTTATCAATTATAGAGCTACATCATCAGAACATAACATATCAGATGTAAAGGAGTCTAAACTGATCAATAATGCAGTGTCCTAAAACTTTTGGGAACTGGGCCATTATGTAGCAGGAACACCATCAGACCATGAATATACTGAAAGGGTACGAGTTTCTGGATAAAGGTTGGATGGTAAACCCAGAGTTCATAATCGTTATCATGTTATGTTGCTATGCAACATACTACCTCCCCACCGCCTAATTATTAATAAATGCCAATTCCATCAATTTCAACATCCAAAGAATAACCCACAGCAATTAACAGGCATCCACATTTCTGATGTCTAAAACAGGTTTCACAAAGTAATTATATTTTACCTTCAAGTTTCTCACTTGATGAGGACAGCCTGCAGGAATGAAGACAGCGTCTCCAAGTTTCTGGACAAATGTCCATGGTTCAATGCCTGCATGACAGTGTCAAACATAATTATAAACGTTAAAAATTGAGGAAGAAAAGGTTGACCTGAACCCATTATATAGATCACAGGACTAACCATATTCCTCTTTTAGCTTCCTCTTGTGTTCTAGAGTCAAAAAAAATGTCTGGTCATGAATGGGGTGGACCACCTACAACAACAGGAGTTTATAGAAACAATTTCAGGATACAAGCACTTATCACTACAAATTCAGACTAAGCAACCACCCAACTCAATAGGTCCATCTTATTCAGATTTGACGTGACAGTTTCTTTCTAGCACAGGACATAGACTCTTTATACCAAATCCTTCTTCAATTCAAGAAACACAAATTTGTAAAGTGTAACAACCACAGCCAAAGGTAGATAGGGAGGCAATTTTTTTGAGCAATGCACGATTACCCTTTGTAAGGGGCAACAGTGGATATGCCTAAATTCTTTGAAGTGTTTGTAGAGATACTCCTGCAACTTAGGAACATCATCTCTCCGGAAGATGTCCCAAACAGCACCTCCATCTAAAGCATCAGGCCGTTCTGACTCGTTTCCAGACTTTACAGGCCCAACCTCAGTGATTCTGCCTTGTTTCACTCCTGCCTCCTGGCCAAACTTCCCTAGATTATTTGTAAAAGCAGAATCATTAAACAGAATTATCATTCTAGCCATTAGCTTCACCAGATAAACCATTATCATCAGTAGGAGACCTACCAGAATCAACACCATGCAGGTTATCAACTTCATCTGAATTCTGCTTATTTCCAAAAAGTTCTCTTCGGTCTTGTTCAATGTGCTTTAGCTTCAATTTTTGCATTTCCTTAAAATCAGGTTGAGTGGACACATCAGTAGTATGCATCAAGATGTTAACCTGAAACATAATATGCACAGATTAACCATCATTAAGAGTACAATGTTAAGCAATTATGTCAGATTCCGATCTTGATAGCCACAACACATATGGACACCATAATAGCAAGATTCACTGCTGATGAGGAAATTTCCAAATTTCTAAGTATTTTAACACTTTGCATATCATAACATCTGATAGTCAGTCATTAACAAAACAGTCAATATCAAGGACTCATCAGCTCATCCCAGTAAAGTCCTCATTAGGCTAATTTAATAAAGATCTTTCAGCATTCTTCTCATTAGATGATTTCCATCAAGCCTCAATTTGCAACATGTTGGTTGCAAACCAAAAAATCTTACAGTTGCACAGGACAATTACCCTTGGTAGGTCAACAAAAGTAATCAAATACAAGATTCATACAACATAGTATCATACAACAGTTTGTAAATAATCACTACATTGAAATATATAATTTCACTTAAATTTTTTATGCACTATTTGGAAGAAGATACCATACAGAGCCCTGAACAAAGCTTAGGAAGCTAACAAATCTAAGCATGCAGTATCTGTAGAATATAAGCAATTAATCATTTTCTATAAGTGTACTACATGTGACATCGAGGAAAAAATATACCACTTTTGAGCATGGAAGACCATGTTGTGTCTCCATTTTTTTAATTTAAAGTTCCCCTTCCACCTTTCCTAGAAGGTTGTTTTGTTGATTTCTAACCTTTCATTCTCTTCTATCACCAATATACCCTCTTTTATCTGAACAAGAAAAGACAAAAAAAAAAAACTAAACATACCGCATCAGACATGTCACAGTGAAGCTTGGTTACCGAATCTCCACGCCCAAGCTCTTCAGGAAATCCATAGGCAATATACGTCTTTGGCCCCATATCTGGCTTCAAGGAACCCTTAGGCAATCTGATAGCAAGGTTTAAAGGTCCAATGTGAGGATGTGTATACTCCTTAAAGGGCAAACAACAGGTAAATTCAGCATCATGTCGTGGCAAACTTTCACCAAATGTTTTAGATGGGGGCCAATCTTTGAGCTTCAGTATCTTAGGCCACTTGTTGTCATAAAACCTTCCCTCTGTATATCCCATGAAGAAATGATGGACATTAACATCTACCTGCAAATCATCAAGAATCAACCATCACATTGAAGATTATAACGAGCAATAATGTATCAATAAGATGGCAAATCATGACAAATGGAGAATGATCACAAGCATAATTATCAGAAGTAGCAATCAAAATCATGCATTAAAAGTTGGCAACAATCTGTCTTCAGACACAACAAGCAAGCAGGTAAATATACTGACCTCACATAAATCCAAACACTCAATTGTCTTTACATTCAAAAGTGTATCATGCTTTTCATTTTTTATCTGGCGGAAAGCACGCCACATGACCATTGGTTCCCAACTTAACCCAGATGCAGTTTCAAGCACATTGCTAACAATCACAGGCTGAGCTCTCTTCCAATGGTGCTGAAAATGCTTTAAGTCATCCTCTTTAATCTCTTTGGCATTCGGACAGAACAAATAGTTATCATTAGAATCTTCACGAGATGCTGCTTTTAATAGGTTGTTACTGTTAGTAATATCAAGGTCACCATTGGAATTAAAACATGCACATAGTTCAACAGGAGCATTAGTAGAGTCAATTTCACACTTTTGAGACATATGTTCAGCTTTCTTTGCCAATTCCGAAATTGAAACTGCAAAACCAACTTTTTTGTTTGGGAACAAACATTTTAGTTCTAGATTGCCACTACCACAAGCACAATAAATGCTTCCATCTTCTTTTGCTTTCCATCCAGACTTTTGCCCAATTAAATCCTCAGATCCAGTCTCTTCAGAGAAATCAGCTGGTGATTCATCTTTTATTTTCCCTTCTTCACCATGGCAGTATTCAGGTCCTCTGTTAACGTATTCCATAACCACGCCTGGCCCACCACCTTGCAAGTGTCCACCACGGATCTCCCGGCAACAGACAAGACAAAGATCAGAAAAGCACTTTGAGCAACTTCTGTGATAATCAAAAATAGAAGTTCTGCAATTATCACTGGGGGAAAAAAATGGATTAGTATCAAATATAACCAAGAAAATGAAAAGGTGGAAAACTTCGATATCTAGATACAAACTTACCAGAACATGCGCTCATCTGCAGGGCATCCAGCATTTTCTACCTGTAAGTCTGCAAGTGGTACACCTGCAGAAATAAACTATTAGTGATCTGACAAATAGCAAAGCCAACCCTCTACACACACATGCAAAAGCACCCATCGGCCCCATTTATTCTCATGAAGCATGCACTTCATAAAACATAGATAAGCAGACATCTACCTGCACCAATAAAGTCACAGACATCTACCTGCACTAATAAAGGCACATGCATAAAATACATGCTCAAAAATAATTACTTAATCAAAATCTGACAAATAAACTATTAGTGATCTAACAAATAGCAAAGCCAAGCCTCTACACACACATGCAAAAGCACCCATCCGCCACCCATTTATTCTCATGAAGCACGCACTTCATAAAACATAGACAAGCAGACATCTACCTGCACTAATAAAGGCACATGCATAAAATACATGCTCAAAAATAATTTCTTAATCAAAATCTAGGACCAATCTTTTGTTAATGCAATGATTACTTTGGAAGTAACTGCATGTACAACCAATAGAAAGGTCTTCAATTTCCAATCAAGGAAAGAAAAGATCTATTCATAGAATACAAATATTACACCAGAAATTTTTTTTGGAAAACTTGGTAATTTGGCCTTTAAACTGATAGAAAATCATTTCATCCTATAAAAGCAACACCTTTCATTTCTACAAAATTCCATTTTTCCTAATTTCAAACATACCTAAAGCAGAATGCTTTGCAATTAGATCAGAATCAATGCAAAAGTTAATTGTTTATCGTATCAATTCCATTTATTTGAAACAAAGCAAGTACTTACCTTTTATCCTAGACTCAATCTTTCTCTCCATCATTTGTTCTTCATCTAACTGCTTCAGAAATGGAAGAAGTGTGCGAAGTAAAAACTTAGAGCACTGCACTTCTTCTTCTTTGCTTACTTCCAGGTTTAAATTTTTCAGGTCCTGCAGTAAATAACAAGAGGTAAAGCTATTACATCTCACACATGCAATTAAAAGAATTAACAAATACACATTGAAGCATGAGCTGCGAGGTTGGAGAACATACCCTTATTGGCGCATCTAGACGCAAACAAGATTTACAGTTGCAATTTCCAAGACAGACTGGACAAGCATTGGCAATATCATCCTCTGTCATCTTAGGATACCTACAACAAGAACCAGGAATTCTTCAAGTAACAAAATCAATAGTTAAGAAATTATGCCACAGCCATTCATAAGATGGTTCAAAAAAATCCAAAGCTATGTGTTATCTTTTAAAAGATAAAAGCTAGTCCTAAAAGTTCAAAACAGTATATGATATGCTAATATTACTTATATTCACAATATAATGTTGTTTATGAGCTGCAATAAAATTGAGACTGGATTTATCAGCACAACAGATCACGCAAGACATCACAAGTTCTAACAGTTGTCTATTTACTCTATAGCATTTACATTTAGAAACAATATAAATCTTTTAAAACAAAAGCATTGTAGTAATTACACATAAATTCATGAAATTCACAACAACCAGTAGCATTAGCGACAGATTTAGTATATTTTGCAAAATGGATAAATAAAAATTTATATTCAATAATGCCACTCCTAACAAAGAACATAGAACAAAAAAATGAGACAATAAAAGAAATAATGCAAATAATTCTAAACGATACCATTTTGTCAAGCAGGGGATGCAATAGCGCTTCCTTTTACATTTCAGGCACCTAACAACACGACCCTTGTCATTTCTCTGGCATTGATGACACATTAAGCACTCCTCCTCAGTATACTGCAAACCCAAATTCAGGAACATAAGCAAACAGAAACAGCCAAAAAGAAATTCTAACAACAATACAAGGAAAATTAGTTACATTAGTGCGCTTGGATTTGCTGCCCTGCCCAACTTGCTCTTTCCGAGTCCTGAGCCCATAATCTGTCCTCGAGCTCATCATCAAACAATCTCCTTCTCCTTCTTCACCACTCTCTTCCTTCTCTTCTCCTTCAATATTCTCCTCTTCCTGCTTCACCGTTTTACCTTTTCGACCAACTTTCTTTTTCCCACTATTGACATCTCCATTTTGACCATTTTTTTCACTTTCCAATGCATTACTTTTAGAGACTCCATTCTTCTTCCTGCTCGATGATACCACATTCTTCTTCCTAATCTTCCTTCGTTTCTCCTCAAACACTAACTTATCTAGTGCAACATCGTTCTCAGCATAGTTCACCTTTTTATCAGTTCTCCTCAGCCTCTTCTTTAATGGAGCTACATTACATTCCACATCATAAACACTCTCTTTCTTTTCCTTGCTCTCCACCTCCTCATTTCTCAACTCAGTTTCCTTCTTCTGGCTTTTCTTTTTAGCAGCCCCTTCAGTTTCCTTATTCTCATCACCTTCTTCCTCGTTCTCAATAAATTTCACCTTTTCCTTTCCTTCAACACCCACTTCTCCAATCTCTTTTCCTTCCTCATTATCCACCTCCTGATTCCTGAATTTACGTCCCTTCTTCCTCCTCTTCTTTGCCCCTTTCTCTTCCCTTTTCCCATCCAATTTTCCTTCGTTTCCATTTTCTACCTCTTTCTTTCCTTCCTCAGTATTCACCTCCTGTTTTGACTTACTAGACTTCCCCTCCTTATTTCCAGCTGCCCCTCTGTCTTCTTTCTTCATAAACCCCACTTCACTTTGCTCACCTAATTCATCTTCTCGCCCACTCTCCACCACTTCATTTTCAACAAGCTTCGCCCATTTCTTCCCTTTCACAGTTGGAAAAAACCCCTTTCCATCTCCCTCTTCTCCATTATCTTCTTTCACCTTCTCCTCCTCACTATCACATTCTTTCTTCTTTTCATTCCTTTTCTTTCCACTCTTTTCCTTTCCTTCAACACCCACTTCTCCAATCTCTTTCCCTTCCTCATTATCCACCTCCTGATTCCTGAATTTACGTCCCTTCTTCCTCCTCTTCTTTGCCCCTTTCTCTTCCCTTTTCCCATCCAATTTTCCTTCGTTTCCATTTTCTACGTCTTTCATTTCCTCCTCAGTATTCACCTCCTGTTTTGACTTCCTGGACTTCCCCTTCTTATTTCCAGCTACCCCTCTGTCTTCTTTCTTCATAAACCCCACTTCACTTTTCTCACCTAATTCATCCTCTCGCCCACTCTCCACCACTTCATTTCCAACATGCTTCGCCCTTTTATTCCCTTTCACAGTTGCAAAAAACCCCTTTCCATCGTCCTCTTTTCCATTATCTTTTTTCACCTTCTCCTCCTCACTATCACATTCTTTCTTCTTTTGATTCCTTTTCTTTCTACTCTTTTTCACATTCTCCTTGAAATCACCTTCTCCCTCATTCTCCACACCATTATTTTCCCTTTCCTCTTCCCTAGCTCCACCCCCACTCTCCTTTACTTTCCTCTGCCTCTTCCTCTTCTTTGACACCCCCTTTCCTTCATTAATATCACAACTTTCCTCCACTTTCCCTTCGCCAAGTTCACTACTTTGACCTAATCCCCCACTCTCCTTCACTTCCTCCTCTGACCCACCATTCTCCACCTTTTCCTCCACCACCCCTGCCGCCGAATTCGTCGGTTTCTGCCGCTTCCTCTCTCTTGCCATCACAAAAGATTCTAGCAGTCAAGGGGAAAAAAGATGGACTTTTCAGGTTTTCTTGAAATAAAAAGATGGAATTTTTATAATGCTGAGACCCAAAGTGTGTTTTTTCTTTTGCGGAGGGAGAAGCAGATGGGATTCTTATAGAAAGAATTTTCTGAAAAATAGTGTTTATTGTAAGTATTTTATTTTTTGTTTTGTACGTGAAATAAAATTGGAACAGACCTGTGACCCAAAAAAAAAAAAAAAAAAAAAAAAACAGGAAAAGATATAGTAATGATAATAATGGGTTTGGAATTTTGATTGATGGGTTATTTAATTACTCTCGAGATAATTAATAATTATTTAGTAGTGAATGGGAGTTTTGAACTTTTTGGCGCCAAAATTAATTGTGGGTTTCTAGGGTTTTGTGACACTGTGGGTGAAATTTTGGGTGGGAATAGAATCCGCCAGTTTTGTTTAGTTAATCGAGGGGAGATGAAGTTGGTGAAAACACGGAAGTGGGAGGGATGGTTGGAAGATGATTTTGAAATTTGAATACTCGTAAATTGTTTCACTATTTTCGTATAAACGGAGAGTTGGTTTGCCCGTTACGGCATGCGACAGGTAACGAGCATTCATTGGGGTTGGGGATTTGAAGAGTCCTCCGGAACCTGAAGGGTCCAATCCTTTTTTCATGTTCGAGGTTGCACAAAAGGTGGAGCCTCTTGTCAACTGTCAATCAAACATACGGTAGGAAGCAAGGAGGACTTGGAAAAATTAAATTTGTTTTTGTCCCTAGGGATGAGCACCTACTACATACGTGATGCATACAATTTTTTTTTCTTTTAAATAATTGGTTATTTTAGTAGTAATGAATACGTTATCAGCCTATAGAAAAATTGATTAAAATATTTAATTAGTTATTTTAAAAATATTGATATACTCAAATAAAAAAATTAAAATTTATCTACTCAATGAAAAAAAGAAAAAAAATTATAAATTACTAATCTAAAGTTGACGAATATATCATCAGTTAATATAAAAATTTATAAAAATATTTAATTGACTATTTTAAAAATGTTAGTGTAATAAAATAAAAAAAACTTAAGACATTATACACGATAGAGAAAATTTTAAAAGTTAATATATTTATAATGTTTTTTCTTTTGTTAATTACTAAAAAAATCTTTTATAAAAATCTTATATTTAAAGAAAAAACCATCAATTTATTTTCAAATTTCTCAAACCCAAAACAATTTTTTTTTCTTTTGACAAAAACACCTAAAAGTTAAACCACAAACTCTTGTGGTTTTAACTATAAGGTGTTTTGAGATATATATATATATTATTTTGGGTTTGACAAATTTGAAAATAAATTAGCGTTTTTTAAATAATTTTTTTTTAATTGTAGGGTTTTCTAGTAATTATTCATAACTTAAATGAAACTATTATCTTTCCGAGATATGTAATTTTAAAGAAATAAAAACTCTTACGTAAAAGATTTTTCAATAACAAGAAAATAATAACAGAAAATGTTTGCGTTAGAATTCAAAAAAGCAAAAGAAACTTTTTTTTCAATTGCAATTAAAAAGAACTTGACATTGATAATGGTAAAAAATGAAAGAAAGAAAAAAAGATCATATACATAAAAAATTATGAATGAGATTATTATTAAATAATTATCAAAAAAATCCAATAATTAATGATAATTAGCTAGTGTTAAGTTGGATGTTAACTATTATATATTTTTATAAGAAAAATATTTTTTTGAGTTTGAGAGATTTAAAAATAAATTAATGAGTTTTTAGATAGAAAATTTTTTTAGAGGGTTTTTATGGTAATTATACTCTTTTTTTTTAATGGGGAATAGCGTTAGGGACAATTCTTGTAAACTATTTCTTTTAATAGTCAGTCGTTTTATTTAATGAATGAATTGATGTGTTTTAGTCTAGGAATCTTGGGCGTTCATGGTCTAATTCCTTCTGTTGAGTCTAGGAATCTTGGGTGTTCATGGTATATGTGTGTGGTGTGTGTGTATATATATGTATATATCATGGAGATTCGGAGGTGAATGATGTACAGATAAGAAAAATATCCTTTTCATTAAATCAAAAGAAACAAAAAAATAAAAATCAATAATATATATGTCACGGGGATTGGGAAAATTGAATGGCAGACTGGCAGTGCTCAAAGGAAACATACCATTAAAAGGCCGAAGCCCAATTTACAAGCAAACCGGACTTTGCTAATAAAAATAAGCAAACACCATAACATCGACTACGTCAATCCAATCCTTCTTAGTTAAATCTTCAAACCAGACATCCTATCAAGTTGTAATGAGAATTTAGGATATTCAATCTTGGCATGTCCTCCATCAGAAGGCAGATCATGAGTTGCTTGCTGCTTCCCAAATACACCAAACGGTCCCACGCTACCACTTTGGAGGCAGTTGTGGCCAGTAACCTCGGTTCAGTGATTTGGCTATAAAATGTGTTGTCACATCGCCTAGAGAGGAGAGCTTGAATTTGCATAAAAAATGTCAGATGCACCGCACCGGATGTATTCCTAATCCTAGGTGGCTACTCCTAGGTTGTCTTCATTTCTGTGAACTTTTACATGGGCAACCCGGTGTTCAAGAAGAGGAAGGATCTCAGCCAGGCTGTTTTGTTGCACGTAAAACTAGTCATTGACAGCGGGAAGAACTCACTCACTCATATTGCTCTGTCTCTTCTCTTTGGCAAGTGATGGAAACTACTTTAGCATTTCTTTGTTGCTCTGTTTCTTAAAGCCATCACAAAAAGCCTAAATTCATATAGATAAAGTGCAAAGCTTGTTTGCAGAGAGCAACACAGAGAAGAGAAGATTGCGTATCCATAACAATATCCTATACTTCATATTTCTAACGAACAAGAAAAAATCACAACTATAGTTTTACATGGAAGTTCCAAGACCAGCCTATCAAGCAGGCCATTATGAAAATTGAGTTTAAAAATTCTTCCAGAATTCAGTTCCTAAAGAACGAGTATAAAAACAAAATGATCAGCAAGCTGCAAGTGTATCCTAACACAACTAATTCACAAGACCTCTCTTTGAATACATCAAGCACACAGGCTTGATCTTTGCTGGAGATTCACACAACTGTCATCCCAGCTTCTTTTAGAGTCTTGATTTTTGTTTCGGGCAGTACCCTATTCTCCAGAAACAGTAGCTGTAAACAAAAATACAACAGCAATAATTAGTAAGAGCCATTTTACAGATATTTCAAAGCAAGAATCATATTTCCAGATGCAATGGCTGGGCATTAGAATCTTACTTCCGAGCAATAATTTCTGGAGTTTCTCCTTATCCAAACGGGTTTTGCAATGAAACTGAATTTCATATTGAGCTCCAAATATGCGCTGGCGTTTTAACCAAAAATACTTCTTGCTCAATTCATGGCTTTGTGTTTTCATGACCAAAAATTGCTTCTTTATTCGCATTTCAAATTGTTCTCTGGACTTTTTATCAACATGAGGTGATCGTAACACAGTATACAAGACTCGTGATTCAGGCAATCTAATCTTTCGTGTGTCAGCTGGAAGCCCAGAAATAGTGTTTCCAGGAACTAGGTTTTCAAATGATCGAATCGCTACGCATATCTTGGTAGTCATTGCTTTTGGTGGTCTTTCTTCTCGGCGTCCTGAGATTCACAAGGTCATAAAGACAATAAGTCTAAAGCAAATACCACTCTGCAGACAATAACGTCCATCAAGGATTCATAAACAAATGAAATTCTGATTCTATTGGAATTGCAAAGAATGTTCCTACATTCTAAATCCAAAGTTCAGGCTGATCCTAAATTTTACAGCTACATCTAATCTTGGAAAGTACAAGCATACCAAGGTGGACAAGACCCTACATGCAGCTGACAGCCAAAAGAAATAAAAGGTATAAAATTAGAACATGCTGAGATTGAGAGTTCAAGAACCGAGATCATGTACACATATTTATTAATCGATGGATTCTTCATCAGATTACCTTACAAACAAAGGTTTCTATAAGAGTTAAGGCTACAACAAGATTACAAATAAGATGCTGGTCAAATAACTGTCGTTCTTTCAAATCTTTATGCATTTGATTGACATCTTATGAAGTAACCAATGGCTAACATACCCAACTATTTCTAGTGATGATGTGGCAAGACCATGGATAGGGTGTATTTAATTTGGATCAACATACTGATTACAAGTTGGTAAGTGAAAAATAAAAATTTCACTTCTCTTTTCTCTCCTCTGCTTCTCTATCTTATCCTCTATTTCTCTTATCAACTAAAGTTTCTTGTTTTCTCATCCAAATCTATCCCTTCAAAATTCCTAATTGAGTACAAATATTGTATTAGGTCTTTACCCATATAATGCATGTTGAAGGGTTTGGGTGCATGGAATATCATATGCATCATCATAAATTAATAAAACTAGATCCCACTGTAATACCTCCAGCAGTCAGTCCAGCTGAAGATGCGACGGTAGGCATTTTAGTTCCGCTTTCCTGTTTCAGTTGCATAAAATCATAAGAGCAGTAGTCACAATGGGGCAAAGGAGATATGTTCTTTCTATTAACTATAAAGTAAAATAAAGTTGAAAGTGCACAAACATTCAACACATTGATAATTATATATGTTATCCTATCGAAGCATACAAAAATTTGCAATGCCCAATGACCAAATTTCAATAGAGCTACATATTCCATGTAGAAGCACAAAACCACCAATAGTCAACATCGGAGAAGATTATTTGAGCATGACACTTGATATAATTTACACACTATTATAGGCTATCTTAAAAAATTTATAACCAGAACTTTTAACTCAATCAAATTTCTACTTGTTCTTAGGTTGCTTGTCAGATCCATGCTCATTGTATTGTGAACAGATCAAATGGATTAAATTGTTACTGATCTCTCATGTCAGACATTCTTTACAGACAATTCAAAGAAAACCCATCTCTTTATACACGCATGAGTACATGAGAGAAAATTTAGTTAATTCCATCCATTTACTACTCTCCTCCGTACGTTTTTCCTTTCCTGAAATCATCCCCTAAATCCAGACTACCAGTCTTAATTCGAGCAGGAGCTTTTGTTTTAGCCTTCTTAGGTCTCACTGCCCATTTATATATGCCAAAGGAGATTTAAAGATTGAAACTCCTTCTACAAACAACTATATGAAAGAACATTTCATAAATTCCATCCATTAGTTACCCTCATTTTGTGTCGGAACCATTCCCTACATTCAAACTATGTCTTAATCAGGGTAGCAGCATTTCTTACAGATTATGAAAAGAGTGGAACTTTATGTGACAAAGCAACCAGAAACAATCAAAAAAGGTACTGCGAGGTAGAAAGAAAGCATAGATATAGTAAGTTGCTAGTTATAACAGTGTAGTACATATGAACACTGATGCTTAAGTTCGTAAACACGTTGAAAAGGAACCTAATTGGTTTACATATAAACTTGCTTTCACTGAATTCAAATCTAAAGCAATGAATATAAGTTATAACTATAAAAGTAGATTTTGATTCAAAACACCACACTGTTCTCTACTAGAACCAAATCAATACCTAAAATAACAGAAATCCATTAGCAAGAACGCAAAGAAAATCACCTATAAAGAACTAGTTATGACCATTTTGTGCCATCTGAGACCAAAATAACAAAAACCCATCACCAAACTAGTAAAATAATAACAACCCACAAACAAAAACCAATAAAAAAAAACACATCAAAAACACACACAAAAGAGAGAGAGAGAGAGAGAGAGAGACTTTTACATACCATCTTAGGAGCAGCCGCAGTGAAAGAGCGACATTTTAAAGAGGAAAAAGATGGAATCTTTGACGACAAAGAAGACACAAGTCTTGTTGCTTGTCTTGACATTTTCTTTTCTTAGAGTTCGTCTCTCTCTACCTTTCAACGCAGCCAGAGATCTGTTTGCAAGCAAGGCAAAGAACCAAGACTGAGAAAATGAAGGTTTTTATAGGGGCTTTTACGAGTTAAAGCCCAATTGACTGTCCGTGTAATATTATTAACAATGCCTTGCCTTCTCTCCGTTTCGCGTAGCCTTCCTTCTCTTCAGTGTACAAATCTATTTTTTTGTACATGTTTTGTTTCAACCGTTCGATCCAAATTTTAATCTTGACCATCCATCTAAAAAACCCTAGGTCTCTTCTGTGATTCTCTCTCTGCCTTTGCAGTTCTTTTTTTTTCCTTCCTTTCTTCTTCTTCCTCTTTGCCGAATCCTCTCTCTCTCTCTCTTCCCTTTTTTCCCCCCTTCTTCTTGCTTTCTCCCTTCTCTCGAACCTGCCATGTTTCTCCATACTCTGCCTCTTCTTTCCGTCTTTTCTCTTCCCTTCCTTCTCTTCCTTGTCCAACCAAACACCCCAAATCGATTTCTCAAAATTCTTCTCTAATTTTGGCGGAACCCTAACTTTTCGATTCTTCAAAATTTTCTTTCAATTGGCTGAGAACCCTCACACCATCATTTGACACTTTAAATACCCATTCTCTAATGGCTATCAATTTGACTGTCTTATTTCTCATCACCGCATCAATAATAGTCCATCCTCTTCGGAACTCCTGAAATAAATCATCCCCTGGAACCGTGCACTCAACAATGGTAATAGAAGTGCTTACCAAACAAATAGTGAGTAAAGCTTGCGAGATTCTTTTGACTAAGTTTCCTGAAAGGGAAAAATGGAGATTAATGGTTCAGTGGTGATAGAGTAGTTGCAGGATTTGTTTCTAGTATAAGTGTTTTCATTTTGCAACTATGGATACATTTTCTTCTTTTTGCAGTTGGTGTTCCTTTATATTAGAATGATGAGCTTGCAACCTCAAAGGTCACTTTATTTAAATTTATTTACTACATAACTGGATCTCCTTACCCTTTAATTAAATCAATCTTTTAAGGCCCCTTTTATTTGGTTAAAGGTCAAAGATCGAGAGAAGTGCTTTGTTTGAATGGTTTTGTTGCTTATGACTATTGATATGTTATTATTGAACCAATGAGCAATTTGCTGCATTAAGTCATTGTTCATGTCTTTTTGGAGAGACATTAGGGAGGCATTGCTCTTAGATATAAAGAAAAGCCATGTCGTTCATTACTATGGTCAACTTGTTGCATTTTTAATGAATAGATGTTTTTGGATAGAGTTGGTTTCTTTTTTCTGCCCTCCCATTGCTTTTGTAATGTGTATTTTAGGATTAATGCTAGAAAGGGATCCTATTGGTGTAATCATTAGTGATTTGGATTCTTTTCATGACTCCCACTTTATTATGTGCTTGCCTGTAGTACTTTCAGATAAAACGTAATTGTAATTTGTGTTATTATAATCACACTGTGATGCTTCCGTGCCTTTCTCTGCTTGCCTGCAGTATTTCTAGACATAGAATTACCTAAGTAAATGCATATGCTATAATCATTACCTCAGGTAGATGCACACATTCAACAACTGGATCAATTTCTGAAGCTATGTGATGAAGACAATCGGCGAGGTAATTTGCACTCAATACACTCCTTAATAAAAACACATGAAGATAGTGTTCATTTCCTGAGCATCAGAGCTAATCATTTCTTTTGCGTGATTATGCAGGCAGAAGGGCTTCTGGTTGAGCAGAACATGATAACCTATTACAATTTCATTGTGCAGTTATGTGGTTGTTTCTCAAGCAATCTGTCACTCATGAACGAAAAGAAGTATGTGTTGCTATTAAACATGCTTTTGACTGCTCTTTCATTGTTTATCAGTTCTTTTCTTTTGCATCAAGTATCTCTCACTCATTCTATAGGACATGCAATCAATTAGAACAAGCGTAAATTACTAATGCAGTCATTTAAGAAAAAAATGAAGAACAACACCTAAATGTTTTCAAGTAATGGCAAGGAAAAGCAAAGACCAGAAAAGTCAATAATTCATGTGTAGTAGCTGCAATCTTCTACTATGTTTCCACTTCTCAGATCTCTCTTTCATTTTATATGACATGTGCTCTATACCATGCTATTATGCTATAAATTTAGGTTACATGAAGTTGATTGAATATGGAAAACAAACATTTGCACTTTTGATTAGCCTGTTTCCTTTTTCAATAAAAGTAAAGCTCATTCAAATTGAAACCTATTTACAATAGAGCTCATCTTCTTCCATAATCTCTATCAAAATCTCGAGGACTCTTAATGTTTCTGCAGCGTCTATGAACATATATACCAGCAAACACAATTGACAGGGGTGGTAAGAACAAACAATTAAGGGAAATGGCCTCTGGAAAAGGCAATATTGGTGAATATTGGTTGTCACAACTGAAAGTTAATACAAGAAGGAAGCTTAGTTTTGTGTCGTCAAGCTAACCATTGGAGGAATTATGTGACTTATTTTGCCATATGCTATTACGATAGTATTGGGAGGCCTTAAGCTAACTCATTTTAAGATGTTTGGCTTTCAGTAATTTTCATACTCTCAATTTGCATTTTCCAATCAATTGGTTTACGTATGTCATTCTCACATATTCTATGTTCCTTTTCTGATTCAGGGAATGCCCCGAGGAATGCGAAGAAGTTGTGCAATCTCTAATATATGCTGCACCAAGATTTTTTGAATTCCCAGAATTACAAGATCTTCATTCTGCATTCATTGATATATATGGACCTCCTCTTGAATCATTCGTTAATAAAGAGGTCATAACAGATAGCTCCTCTTCATTATTTATTAGTAAGTCATATAGGTCCCGTGGCCCCCATTATACCTTTCATTGGGATCATCTTGGTTTTTTGCACTAATGTGGCTGATTACTGACATGCAGTTTGTTGAGATGTTGAAGCCAAAGTCTACCACAAAGGAGATGAAGCTTCAATTGATGCACTACATAGCACAAGAGTTCTCCATCGAATGGAATTCAAAGTAATTGGAACAGAAACTCTTTAAACCACCGCCTCAATAAGTAAGCTTCCTTGACTATACCAGTTACTGTATGCTAATATACTGAAAGGGAAATGGATAGGATTTTGGAAATGGAGTTCCAAAATTTATTGGCTGCTAATTAGGGTAGCCATTTTACTTGTCTCTCTAACCAAGTTTCCTTCAAAGCATGCTTTTTGGACACTACATGCCATACTGCTTGAAATGAAGATCTGCTTTCCTATAATGCTTATGAGAACAAGCATGACCTTTTTCTGCTGGCATGAACCCTTGCACAGTACTGATAATGGTGGATACAAGCCAAAGGAAAGCAAGCATGATGCTTTTGCTAACAAGAACAGTTTCAATGATGATGATGGATACAGATGGGAAATGGACAAGGATGATGCTTTAAAAAAAGAGACAGCCATGATTTGGGCAACAAAATGAATAACACAAGGAGCATACCTTGCTGAAAAGAGATGAAACGATTTTTGCATATCAGGGAAGAAAGAAGGTAGCTAATGACAGATACAAACTGCAAAGCAGCAGTGAAGATGAGGTGTTTTCAGTCAGCAGGCGAGATAGCACTGACCAAGACTTGATGTTGAAAGGATCTCTTGACAGGTTTTATTTGGTATTTCACAACCATTTTAGTGTCTCCATCTTAACTAAACGTGTGATCAAATGATATAATCATTGATAGAAAGAGAAAGTGGTGTTGCTACTCCAACGTTGCCTGCTTCAAGCCTTGATGGAAGTACAAAGTCTGGAAGGGGTAGTGAGAGTGGTAGAGGAGGGCGTAAGAAGTATATCTCTCTTCTAATTATACTTGTCCATTGTTTCCTTATTGATTACTTTAAGCACCTTAATTGATTAGGCTTCTCAACTTCAATTTACTTTCTCTTTGGAAGCTGTGTGTTGAAAATGGATTTACTTGGTTTCTCTTATATAGGATTTCCTCAATGTCTTTGTTTTTGGGGATAGTGTGGGAAATTTTTATACAGAAAAACACAAGACCCAGGATTAGGACTTCTTGCCCGAGAAATGGAAGAAAATGTCATATAAATATATAAGAGATCCAGGATTAGGACAATTTGCTGTAGAAGTAGAAGTCTTGCTTTGAAAATGAAATTCCTGACAGAGATGCAGGAACGTCAGCCTCATGTCAACCAAGTGACAGGTTGTTTTGCAGGATACAGGTCCCTGCCAAAGAACTTAAGTAAGAGTGGTCTGTGTTTGGGAAACTAATGTCTGTTCTCATATAGTTAAGAATGTCTAAAGTAGTATAACTACACATGAATATAAGAAGGATAGGAATGATAAAAACTTATTTAACTTGGTGGTTTAGGCAGAGATTCCATGTTTATAATGACAATTTGGCAAATCCAAAAGGTATATGCCATTTTTTGTGTATGTATTTCAAAGCTTGAAAATGTTATTATTTGTGCTGGACTAGAAATTTTTTTTTCCTTTGTTTTTTAGAAGAGGGCATCCAAAACATGCTTGGGTAAAAATAAAATAGATCATGACCATTTAGAAACTTTTTGGCTAAATTAGACTTGATATTAATAATGGTCCCTAGGTAAATACACATTTGTGAAATGTGTGATCTGGATAATAACATTAGTTAGTGGATATGATTTTATGTTTTCATCTACTTTTTTTTTTTCTGTTTATGAATGTAATATGGAATACACAATATTCCAATTAATTTGTGTAGATCGTTTGTCATCATCTGAAGGCATGCGTACATTTGATATTTGCTGTGTTACAACCAAGGTACCATTTCAGGTATGTCTTAACTGAGTCAGTAGTAGTGTTTAAGCATTGATCAGGCTTTGCTTGTGAACAATTGTGGGTTAGTTGTTACTTTCTGATTTTCTAAAGATGATCATAATGATGAAATTATGCAGATATGACCTTTTTATTCTCTTTTTCTCTTGGCAAAGAGAAATCTGAAGGATCCGGAGATTGGTATAGTTGGTGCTTTTGCTGGGAATAAAGCATTCTCCTTAGGTTCACCAAACTCTGTTGATTTTTCTTACTTGCACTCCTGCTGTTTTTCTTAAATAAATTATTTTAGCCAGGAAAGGAAAAGAGAAGGACGAAAAGATGGCAAGAATTGATCAAAAGAGAAAAAGGCAGGAAGAGAAAGCGAAGGCGTGCAGAAAATCAAAGAAAAAAAACAGGACTCATCTGTAGTCGGAAAGTTGACACTTAAGAAGAGATTAACAAAGGTAACCTACAAGCCACAATGCAACATGAAAAATCACTCTCAATTTGAGGAATAGTGTATGTCATTTGATTTTTGGGGTGCATATTAATGTAATGTTTCAAATTTGGAATAATTGATTCTTACTGACTTAGTAGATTAGGAAACATATATTTAGAAGTTAGCTTAGAATTGGTTTTTCTAATTTTATAAAGTTAATTGGTAATTCCATAGTTGTTAGATTGAAAACAAGATTAACTGGTACAAGACACAAAACACAGATAAATACAAGGAAGATGAGAATCTTATGATTTTTTTTTTAATTAATTTTTTTTTTCTTATGTTGGAGCCACACCATGGCAAACATATAATGCATATTGTTTAGTTATTCATATACTTCAGCCTTTTTGTTAAAACCAAATACGTAGAGGTTGGACATCCTCTTATGATCCAATTGCCATCGTTGTTCTTGCTATCTTTTGCATGAGACAAGCAATTTCATGATGGGGCCACGCTTGGTGGTTCCTATACATCAAATGTTGTTTTATTATTATTTTTTTATATATGTTTGTCTTAACAAGGGCTGTATGTGTTCTTCTCTATTAGATTCTCAAAAAAAGAAGTCTTATTAGTCATTAGATCATTAGTCAAGGGGCACCATTGACTTCCAATCGCCAAGCTTGGGAGAAATTGGATGTAGAGATTATTAACAGATGAAAAGTTCAAGCAGAAGTTTCACTTGCAAATCAGATCCAAGCTGCCATAACTAAAAGAACTGAATCCAATCCTAGGGATGCTTTGGCAGCACCATCTACTCTGAACTTGTTTGCTAGGAGTCGAATACAGTGAGCTAAAAGTCACGTTCTGTGCAGCAACAGAAACTAAAGTTGCATTTTTGAAATTATAAATTCCATCCACTCGCAGTTATTGCTTAAGTTTAAGTAATCGTCAGATGTGGTTGGGGAAAGGATGAAATCTGAAACTTTGAAGGATATCAACTAGAATTTGACACTGGAACTAAAATTATTTATAACTAAGAGTTATTTCTATTCCATGCCCCTTGGCAATAATTTGTGCTATATTATTATTATTATTATTATTATTTGTCTGAATTTACTTATTTGCCAATTTTGGCATGCAGTAAGTGAAATTCCAAATCATCCTTTAAAGCAGAGCTTAGCTGGGCAACTGTTGCTGTTATGCGTTCAAATTTTGGTAGGAACTAACCTATGATGAAAGAAAGATATTTTAAGGGACAACTTTGGCATCGTGGCAGGAGGCGTGAATTGTTAAATTTCTAAGATTAACTAAACCCTAAAAGAAATGGAGTTTTCACTCTGCACTGTGTGTTTGATTATACATTCATACACATTTGTATTGTTTGTGTACCAGTTTACACTGTATTTTCACCGTTTGGCCAAACAATTTCATTTTGGTGTCTAATGTTTCAGAAAAATCTTTTCTTTTTTCTGTTGATTCTGGGCGGGGGTTGGTCCTCCTAGCCCGCTTCTTTTTTTTTTTTTAATTTCATTTAAATTATTTATATTAAATTGAAAATTTTTAAAATATTTATCTAGCTTTATTTAATTTATTTTTTAAATTTTATTTTTAAAAAAAATAGTCAATGTCATTATTTGAAAAAATTATATAATCTATACAATATATTCATAGAATTTTGAAATGATGGTCGTGCGTATGTATATCAGAAGATTTCTATCATATTTTTTAAAAAAATTATAAAATATTTTTTAGTTAAAAATCTAATTTTTATTAAGAATGAATGCAGAAAGAATAACAAATAATGTCTTTTTAGGTATCAAATCTATGTAACACATAAGAAAGAATTATTTAAATACGAAATTTTGTTTATAAAACATAAAATTTAGATTATAATATATTTTAATAGACTTATAACATATTATGAACTATCAAATTAGAATGATTTTATTATATTTTATCAATAGGATTACGTAAGTAATCGACTACAAAATCAACATTCTTGATAAATATATTTTAGATCATATTATTTTTATTATTTAAAATTTATTTTTTAAATTTATCATTTCTTATAGAGAATTTCATCTAATTAATAGTAATTTTAAATTTTAATTATTCATAAATATGATTTATTATTCTCTATGTATGAATTTTTAAATAAAAAATTTAGAATGTGATTAATTAAAAAAAATTATATAATTTATATAATAGATTCATAGAATTTTTGAAATGATAGTAGAACACACACACACACACACACATATATATATATATATTAAAAGATTTCTATCCGATTTTTAGTTAAAAATCCATGAATTTTTAGTTCTTTTTATTATTACAAGTTTTAAATTTGGAATTGAATAAATAAGAATAAATTATGTTTTTTTAACAGAAAATTTATAAAAAATATAATGAATAATTAGTCAAATACAAAATTTTGATAAAAAATAAAAAAAGAAGAAGAGAAAACTGGATAGATTTTTATTTATCTTTGGTTTATTATATTTTAGTGAATTCATAATGAAGCAAACCTTCAAATTGAAATGATTTTAAATGTTCTAGAACATTATCTCCTTCACTCTCTGTAACTAGAAGGACTCTATCTCTTTTGTGATTCTCTGTACCTAAAACTCTATCTCAATTTCTCTCTATAAGAAGAGCTCTATCTTTTTTGCTCTCTATAATTAAGACTATCTTCTTTACTCTTTGAAACTAGAACTTTACTTCTACTACTCTATGCAACTAGAATTTTGTTGCTTAAACTCTTTGTAGTTATAACTGTTAAAACTAAAACTCTATCTCTATCTTTTATTCTTCGTAACTAGAACTCTATCTCTATTACGTTATTGTTTTCTCGTAACTAGTACTCTATTTCTGTTGTTTTTTATAACAAAAACTCTATTTGCATTTAATTTTTTTTAAACTAAAATTATTTATAGCTCATAAATACTAAGTTAATACATAAACAAAATAATGTTCATCCACAACGAAGCATAGGCCCTGTCTTAGTTTTGGTCTATTATATTTTGGTTGAATATATCCTTGAATTAAACTGAGTACAAACCATTCTTTAGAACACGTGACGTTAGTAGAAGATGCCACGTATTCAAAACTTAATTTTAGACACTTGGTTTGTTAAACTAAACGTAAATTTATTTTTTACATTCCCAAATGCTAGTAACTAGGAATGCACCCAACGTAACTAGGATCTCTGCGACTTTTTTATCGGTTCTCAATACCCTAATATCTCTACTAAGGAGTTGATGTGACCTGTTATTAAAGAAGATAGGTGGTGATGATGAGGGCATCGGAGTAAGCTACCCTCTTTGCATTCTGAAAAGTGAACATTACAGGCTCATGTCAGAAAATTATAGCCTGTGAGGTGATTTGCTTTCCGTTTTTTTTTCCCCTGTAGTTAAAGAATCTTAGCTGGAGAGGAAATAATTCTAACAGTTGATACGCAAGAGAGCATCTTAGTGCTCATTTGGTCCTCCTCTTTTCTGGTTCGGGTCTAACCCTTTTTTAACAAACTATTTGAGATAGCTTTTGACAATCAACCTTTCCATCTCTTTTTTAATGCAAAGTAACTTTTCGTGTCTTGCCCATTCTCCTGGCTATAAAATAAAAGACTTCTCATAAGAGGAAGATGGTTCCCATGGTTACTCTTTTTGTTATGACTATGAAGGCCCTGCTTTATTATTTTGCATTTTATCATGCGTTATCATAATTTTAGTAATTATTTGACCATAAATACTCAGATAACATGTAAATAATTTTTTGAGTTGTATTTTAATTTTAATATTATATTATAATTATAATTATTTATAATAAAATAGTAATAATGCATAAAAAAAAGGTTACAATAAAAACAGTAAATTTGACATTGAACGTGACTATGTTTACGAAGTAAATAATATTATGTCATATGATATCTAAAAATTATAAAATGAGATGGGTCCCTTATGTATTATGTTCATGTAAAAAAAATAAAAACTAGATAAAATATCAACGAAACTTTAAAGAGAGAGAAAATAAGAGAAATTGTTTAAACCAAAAACTTTCCTTCAAGATTTCTAACATTATCTTTGGTTTTTATTGTTTCGTTTAAACCAATTAAAAATTCCTATTATAACTTTTAATTAGAGAAGTATATTGAATATTTTATTTTTTACTTTTTTGCTAAAAAGTAAATCTAGGGAAAAAAAAAAAAGGTAAGGGAATTGTCTTCGTGCTAGATCAATATTGATCAAAACCCATTAAATTATTAAAAGTTTATGATGATACAATTTTTGAATTATGTGTCATTTACACCTTTATTATTTTTCAATTAAACCCCTTACTAACAGAATTATGAAATCATGTAATACGACTTTATAATATTTTTTAAAAACTGAATAAGCATCTTTAATGTAGTATATATAACATGGATATATCCTAAATTGATTTTTTTTTCCTATCATAATAATTTACTTATTTTTAATTCATTTCAACCAATATCTATTGATGAATAAGCATGTTTGGATTGAATAAGTGTAATGTATATTTTGTTTTGAGCTAATAAAAAAAAATTACATTGTTGATCCTTTTGTTTACAAACTTTAGAATTTGGGTCAATAAGCATTTCTCTTAGTTATTGAATTTTTTATCATGTTTGTTTAAATACAACAAGAACAATATGAATAAAAATAATTTTATCAATTAGTTTAATATTTCAATAAGATTTATATATAAAATATTAACATGATAAAAGATTTGTTTATTAATATGTAATCGAGCATCAAAATTAGATCACTATCGAAAAACATTCAATCCGCGAGGAGATTTTTGCGAGGGACTACAAAACCATAGCAAAAAAGCATTTTTTACGATGGTTTTCATAGAATCATAGAAAATTGAGTTCTTAAAAGGAAAATTAACGACTAGTTTATTAAACCATCGCCAAATCAATCAATAATGACTAAAATTTAACGACGGTTTAAGCAAACCGATCACTAACCCAAGGAATGAATTTGGAAATTAATGACCATTTAGCAAAACCATTGCTAATTTCTAATTCTTACATTGGTTTTAGCAACGATTTGAGTAAATTGTCATTAAAATCTATTTTTATTGAGGGGGATTAGTGACGATTAATGAAAGGTGTTGCTAATTCTCCTAAATCCCAAATGTATTTTTGGGAGAAGATTTGCAACGGGTTTTTTTTGATAAAAACCTTCACAAAATGTGAAAAATAGCAACGGTTTTATAAAATCATTGCTAATTTTTTTACTATTTGGAAAACGGTAAAATTTTGAATTTTTTAGCTCATTAACGACGAGACCAAAACTCGTCATTAAAAAACTAAATCCCTAAAAGCTCCTACCTATCTTTTTCCCCCAAATTGTCTTTCTCTCCTTTTTCTTCTAACTCGCCGCATCCAAATCTCTCTCCTCAATTTCTCCCCCAACCTTGCCTTTAACTCCCTCTAAATCTCCTACTTTCTCTTCTTTTCTTCTCCTTCTCCATCTTTTCCCCTCTCCTCCTCCCTTTTCTTCTTTTTTCTCTCCTTTGCTCCTCCTCCCTTCGCTCTTCTTCTCTATGGCAGCAGTAGCCCCTCCTCCTTCTAGCTTGGCAGCAGCCTCCTCTTTGGTAACCCATGCACTAAGTCTTTTTTTTTTTTTCAAAGTTTTTGAATAATTTAATTTTTTGTTAATTGTTAATTGTTGTTGTTATTAATCAATTATTAGTTAATTGTTAGTTATTTTAATATTTTATTATTGTTGTTGTTAATTAATTTAATTTTTTATTTAAATAAATTTTAAAATGTTAGTTTAATAAAAAAATGTGTTAAATAATTTTGATTCATTTAGTTGTTAATGAAATTAATTTTATTTGTTGGTATTTAAAAACTTTAGTTGTTAATTGTTGTTAACTAAGTGATTAGTTGGTTAATTGTTATTTAGTTTAGATTATTTTATTATTATAAATATTTTTTATTTGTTAATTAATTTAATTTTGTGTTTAAA